TTTGGGAACCGTATATAATAGGGGCAGGTTTGAACCTAGGTCCTAAAGGATTTTCAGTTCATGAGAATTTAGAGCATATATATGATGGGATACTACTTAGCCATAAAAAGGAATGAATTAATGGTATTCGTAGCAACATGGATCAGATTGGAGACTATTATTCTAAGTGAAGTAACTCAGGAATGGAAAACCAAACATCATATGTTCTCATAAGTGGGAGCTAAGCTATGAGAATTCAAAGGCATAAGAATGTCACAAAGGATCAGGCACAGTGGCTCACGCCTGTAGTCCTAGCACTTTCGGAGGCCAACACGGGAGGATTGCCTAGGCTCAGAAGTTCGAGACCAGCCTGGGCAACATGGCGAAACCCCGTCTCTACTAAAAATACAAAAAATTAACTAGGCGTGGTGGCACACGCTGTAATCCAAGCTACTGAGGAGGCTGAGGCACGAGAATCGCTTGAACCTGGGAGGCAGAGGTTGCAGTGGGCCGAGATCATGCCACTGCACTCCAGCCTGGGCGACAGAGCAAGACTCTGTCACAAAAAACAAACAAAAAACCCACGATGGACTCTGGGGACTCAGGGGGAAAGGGTGGGAAAGGCTCGAGGGATAAAAGACTACAAATTGGGTACAGTGTATACTGCTCGGGTGATGGGTGCACCAAAATCTCACAAATCATCACTGAAGAACTTACTCATGTAACCAAACACCACCTGTTCTCCAATAACCTATGAGAAAAAGAAAAAAAAAGGCTAGGCGCGGTGGCTCACGCCTGTAATCCCAGCACTTTGGGAGGCCAAGGCAGGTGGATCCCCTGAGGGTCAGGAGTTTGAGGCCAGCCTGGCCAACATGGTGAAAACCCATCTATACTAAAAAAAAAACAAAACAAACAACAAAAAAACTTAGAGCAGCTCAGGGTGGAGCTCTCTGTCCCTAAAACAAAGCCTTAGGAAGTGCCTCTCAGTGCCTCCTCCCCACAACACACACATAAATAAAAAATAAAAAAATTAAAGTGTGAGCAAATTCTTTCACATTGAGAGTCACTGACTATATGGCTTTTTTTTTTTTTTGAGACGGAGTTTCTTGTCACCCAGGCTGCAGTGACAATTAATGCTAATTAATACAATGCTAATTAATACAAGCTAAGTGCTAATTAATACAAAAAATTAGCCGGGCATGGTGGCAGGCACCTGTAGTCCTACCTACTTGTGAGGCTGAGGCAGGAGAATGGCATGAACCCGGGAGGCGGAGCTTGCAGTGAGCTGAGATCGCACCACTGCACTCCAGCCTGGGTGACAGTGCGAGACTCCGTCTCAAAAAAAAAAAAAAAACAAACAAAAAAAACCATAAAACCCAGTTTACCATGAAATCGTCTTCAAGTCTTCATTTAAGCTAATAGGAGAGGCTTCATTCAAAGATCTTCCCCTAAATGGGCTAACCTGACATCCGAATATAATAAAATTTAATAAAACATCACGGTCTCTGATACTTCTGGAATATAACACATGTAGTGTGTATACTGACTTTATTAGAGTTTTAAAAATAACATTTAAAAAGTTAAGTCGAATAAAAGGTTATGCACTCCTGATGTACTTTCATTATCCCCGAGTCCTCTGAGACATGCTGAAGGGAAGCAAGCTGATTTGATCTATCCAGCCTGTGTCCTTTACCTGTGAGGAGGTGGGCCTAGAAATCTGCAGAGACTGGACTGGAACTCTCACCTGTCAGAGAACTGAGGTCCCAATCAATTCTCACTCGGCCTGGACTTGGCTGAACCCTGGCCCTCCCTAGGGCCTGAGGCCCAGACCCTGGCCACCCTGGCTCAGAGTCTGGACTGCAGGCTCCACACCACAGCACAGAGCCCACTCTGGGCAGGCCAGCATTTCCTGTGCCTCAGCCCCACTCGGGAATGGGTCCTAAAAGGTGAGGCGGGTCCTGTGAAGCCGGAGACCCCAAAACTCTAGGTTCTATAATTCTGACAGGGGCTATTCTTCCTTCCCGAGGGAAACTGAGTCCTTTCCCTCTCGTCATATGTCAGTGATTAGCAGAGACACTATTTTTTTGTGTTTGTGTTTATTTTAGAGACACTATCTTGCTGTCACCCAGTCTGGACTGCAGTGGCACGATCGTAGCTCATTGCAGCCTCGAACTCCTGGGTTCAAGTGATCCTCCTCCCACCTCAGCCTCCCAAGTAGCTTGAACTACAGGCGTATACCACCACACCTTGCTAATTTTTTTTTTTTTTTTTTTGTCGAGACAGGATCTTGCTATGTTGCCCAGGCTGGTCAACAGTCTTGGCCTCCTAAAGTGCTAGGATTTCAGGCTTGAGCCACCACACTTAGCTGCAGAAACTTCCCTTTTTTTTTTTTTTAGACGGGGTCTCACTCTGTTGCCTGGGCTGGAGTGCAGTG